CCCAAAACAAAACAAACACACTCTCACTGCTGTGGCCTGCAACTGAGAAGGAGAAAAACATTCCCCACATTCCCTTCACACACTAGCCCCGCAGGAGTTGGGGGGAGCTGGAGCACTGGCTCCCCAGTGCTGGGGGGCGACCCTGAGCCTCAGGGGCTGGATCCGGGCAAGTCAGAAGCCACATCTGAGCCCCGGTCTTTAGGTTCCCATAAGGGAGGGCTCGCCATCCCAGCATTCCATGGGCTTCTCACTGTATTTTGTGCCTCTTTTCACCAGTTCACCCTGTGAACTGTGAGCCCACCATCTCTGTCTCAAAGCTTGGATCCTACACTGTTCTCCAGGATAGCGACGAGCATTATGAATACAATGTGGCTGATCTGCAGTATCTCATGAGCTGCAATTCTGATAATAATTCCATGGTGTCTGTCCTGCTGTGTGCCATGGAAAGAAACAATTCCAGATTGGAAGTCCCAATGGAAAAGCTGCATATAATTGACCATCGTTATTGGGCTTGAGAATCAAACACCAAGTGGTGGGCAATTGATGGCATACATATCCAAGTTTTGGACCCAAGGCCATCTTCTTGCAGCTGTGTGCTGCACCCACACCAGCCCTCCAGTGCAGAAACACCAGAATGTAATCTGCTCTGCTAGTGGAGGAATGGAGATTGCAGTGTGGACACTAGCAACTCCAGATGGCTACTGATCAGTCATGAGTCAATTTGAAATTGGGGCGCTTCAACAACAGGCTCAGCAGGTACAAAATGACCACTGTATGCGCCTTCGGACAATAAAAGGGCCAATGGTCCTGCCTCTTTGGCAGGTTAGACCTCAGTGAAGAACATAATCCCATGGTCATAGCAGGCTGTTGTGTACTGCATAACTTTTGTGAAGCTAAAGGGGAAAAGCTTCCATGAGATGGAGCAATGAGGTGAATTGGCTGGCTTCGAATTTGAGCAGCTAGATGCCAGGGCCATTAGAGATCCTCAATAAAGTGTGTGTGGGGTGGGGGACTGTTTGAATCAGGGAGGCTCTGAAGGAGCTTTTTGACAATGAATGCCCGTAATATATCTGTCTGTAATGCATTCAGTCAGGTGCTATTATCTTGCACCGTAGTATGAACCTTGTAATGATTCCTATATGTGCATTAATTTTATAATCCAAGTGCATTGATTGTCACTACGTATGAAATTCACCAGCAGCAACCAATGAATAAAGGGCACAAACAAATATTTCTCAAGTGCATTTTTATTCAACAGCAATACAACATTACTGTGTTCTGCCAGGGACATGAAAATGAAGGACACATTTTCAAATGAGGCTCTCACAGTTGGCATATGTCCAGCTATCATTGTGATACATGTTCCTCCTGGTGGAGTGCATGGGATATTGGGAAAGCCCGGGAATATGTGAGGAATATGGGGGAGCAGCTGAAGTCCGAGGATGTTGTGGTAGATAAGGAAGGAGTTGGAGGATGATGAGAGAAAGGCAACAGGGCCATCCAGTGGCATGAAGAACCTTTTCTTAACAACCGAGGGGTGTAGCCAGTCCTAGCACTCTGGCTCAGGTGTCTGATGCAGGAGACGGGAGCTCTGGTAAGTACTCATTGTGCTTTGATACTGCAGGGAGACATGCAGTAGAGCTCTGCTTTTTTAATCAGGGTAGCAGAGGATTGTACTAACCAACACTGACACCATTTGTATCTGCTGCTCATTACTCTGTGTAACTAGGCAGAGGGGATTGGGATGTCCCGGGTATCCTCCCTAGCAATCTCCATGAAAATTTGCCTGGAGAGTGCTCTGCAGATTGTTTCTTGAGAGGGTCCAGAGATGCCCTGTTGGAGGATCACAAGGGGTCAACTGCCCCCTCCTGCAGCTGGCCCAGGTGGGAGGAGAAAGGGGCAGGACCAGAGCCAGAAGTGAAGGGGCCAAGCAAGACAGAGCCTCTTCCAGCCATGCTACCTGGGACAGGACCTGGGACAGCACAGTATCTGGGCTAGGTTGTAAAGGGTTAACCAGTTACCCAATAAGAATCACCCTTACCAGGTGTAAAAGCCTAGGAAGGGGTTAACAGAGAGTAACTGGCCCTTGAGTCCAGACCTGTGGGAATAAGTAGGGCTAGGCACCTCACTGGAGCCAATAGGTGGGAAACAGGCAGGGAATGCATAACCTTAGCTCCACCCACTTACCCCACTTGCTGGCCAGAGGTTGAGGGAAAGTTGAGGGAAGCAGTAACTTAGGAGGAAGTGAGGAAGGAACTGATAATTATAGGAATGTCTCTGAGCCATAAATCTCCCAGGTTTGCACCTCCCAGGTTTCCACCTCTCCTTGTCAGAGCACTCACTGTCTAGCTCAAACAATGAATAAGCCAACTCCACCCTGATGTAACTGCCTTCACATCCATTGAATGACATCAGGCTGAACCTGATGCACTTAACCCCAGCAATCATTTTGCAGAGGAGACTTGAGGGGGCTCACACTCTGCTCAGGTGAGGGTGGCATGGCTCTGTTATGCACACTGCAGGAGGCTTTTTTGTAAAGTACCTAACGGTATGTTACATGAGTTTCCTAAGTCTGTGCAGATAGAGCTCATTAACATTCTGTGACAGCCCAGAGCAGTCCAAATCCTTCTCCCATCTGTTTGTTACACTCTCTTCCCGAAATCGGGGGCAGCCATTAAGCTCTTTAGGAGGGGATTACATTACTCAAAGGTTTACACAGTTTATTCAGCCTGGTTCATATGTTAAATATACACAAGATGTAATTTTGTTACCTGGAAATTAGCAAAGAGATGAGCCCTTGGAAAGACACCGGTTTACACTCGTTGAACAAAACCACCATTCATCTTGACTGTGCAACATAAAAAAAATTAGTCCTGGACAGGGCAAACAAAATGATCACTGTGACCTGACTGAAAGACTCGTCTCTGATTAATATATCAAGAGCCGACTGCTTGTCATCCCTAAGCAGGTCTGTGTGTGTTTGTGGGGAGAAGAATTGAAACAAGAGTGCAGAGAGATTGCAAGCATGGAATAACACAGGTCTAGGGTCTCAGGAGAGTTGCTTGGAAATGCTCCAGAAGCACCGTTGTCCACACCAGAGCGCCCATTGGTGGAACTGCACCTGTAGCTGGAATGGTAAGGAAGGGCATGCAAAGAATCTTAGTGCAGTTACAGCCCCATCTGGATGCTGCTGTGCTTAAATAGTCCTGTGCATCAGCAGATGTCAGCTTCTTGTCTGCTGAAATTTGGTATTGTTTCTTCAAGAATGTTATCTCTCTTCTGCCCCAGTTAGTGGGACACAGAGGGACAGATGCTTGGGTGCCTTTGGGAGGCTAGTGCAATGGAACCCATTGCAGGTCACCAATGCTGGGGCTGGATCTGTTCCAGCCCAGACTTAGTATAGTTTGGAGTAGCCACTGCAGTGATGTAACCAACAGCTGCCAGGAGCCATTTTGGCAATTCATGGTTACCAGAGAACAGGAGTATTCCAGCCATGCCTCTTATTACTGGCCTCACCTCCTCCATCAGAAGCAGGGGTGCCTAGAATTCCTGCCTCCATGGGGGAATTCTCTACTGGCTGGAGCTACCAGGTTCAGAGAGACTTTGTGCCAATGAGACCATTACAAAGGGGCTGTCACACACCAGAGATCTGGCCCAGCCAGTAAACCCAGTCTTTAGGAAAGAGCCTAAAGGCCTGATTTTGATCTCACACTGTGTTAAACCAGGAGGAAAACAATGTATTTAGTGCAGTCATTGGAGTCATGCTGATTTACACCAGCTGAGGATCTGGCCCTGAATTTGTACATCATTCTTACATGTGCAGAACTCCTGTGGACACCATAAGTGGCTGGGGAAAGGATGAGGGGAAAGGAAAGGGAATAAGGTCTTCAAGATCTGATGCCGAGTGAAACACTCAAGCAAGCATTCTTCTTTCCTGGAAAGAACACAAAATTAATAGAAATGGGCACAGGCTGTAAAATATGGATGTTGGCTGGATTTTAAAGTTTAGGCCTTTGCAAATGGCCCCTAAAAATGTTTTTTATTTGCCAAAATTGGGTGAGGGTTTGGATTTCAGACACTTCCAAAACGTGCATGTGTTTGGATCTAGAGATTACCTATGTGCCTTTCTCCTCCTCCTCTTCCTCCACCTCCTCCTCATCATAATGTTGAGCCCTCCTGTTGCATTTCCATCCAAAAGGCATTGCAATCTTTACTAGTCTTCCAACTGAGCACTGCCATTCAGCTAATGTCTGCTCAAGTTTGAGGCAATGGCAGTTTGGACTGGAGTGCGAGCTGCCTTGAGTTCTGAATGGCTGGCATTTCTGAAATTCATCAGGGGCAGGCTTTTCTGCTCTTCTATTCTCACAGATCTCCAAGGGGATAACGTGCATCATGGGACTCCGGGGTTTACTGTGCTATTAAGTTATTGCCACCCCTTGGGACAGCCCTGCAAGGGGAGAAGGACTCGCATAACTCTGGATCAGTAAAGGAAGCAGCTCAATTAGCATTTCACACGCTTTTCTTCCCTCTCTTCTTCCCTTCCCTGCAGTGGGCATGCTTTCCCCTTAAAGGATTGTCCTGTTTCTGCTCCTTGCCAGCGTTGGCAGGGTGACAGTAGTCGAGTGTGCAAACTTGTGCTATTGTCTCCGGGACAGGGGGAGTCATGGAGACCCACTAATATGACACAGGAAAATGTTTGCTGATGGCAATTCTATGGGCTTTGTCTAACTCTTTCTCCATCATGACGACTCGATTTAAGTCTCTAACTGTTTGACTACAGATGCAAGAGTACTATCCAACTCCATCCTTTTGTCCGGGCAGTTTGAATGGGTAATTCAGCTTTTGTGTGGCTCAATTGAGGGGGCAAACATAAAGACAAGATTCTTGAGCGCTCAAGCTCCCTTTCCATGGATATCTGCACATCTCTTTAGAGATTTGTTCCTTTCCTACCTTTTTTTCTGACATCATCCTCCCTTAAAAAAAAAAAAAAAAAAAAAAAAAAGCCCTGATCGAGAACAGTTAAAAGCAGGCTAGCCTGGTCTCCCAAACTAGTATTGTCCTGTGTCATTGAAGCATGGTTACTGCCAACCTCCAGACAGCTTTGGGGTAGTTTATAGAAAAAGAGTGTCTAAACTTTCTATACTCATCATCGGCATAACATGTCAGATTGTGTTGTCGCGGTGTGGGAGGGGGGAGGTGAGCAAAGGGAAGGTCCTTACAGGGGTGGCGGAGGAAAGACAGGGTGGAAGAAAGAGTGGAGAATGGCAGAAATCACAGGGAAATGATGGTATTTATGAGCTGTCTTTCTGTGGCTGTCCCCATGGCGACAATTTGTGATGGCAAAGAATGTGAGAACGGGGAGCCTAATGCCTGATTGGGATGCTTTGTATTTGGCAAAGTGGCTTCTGATTGGTCTGAGAAAGCCCCCTAACTAGAAGGAGTTGATATTCATTCAGCTTGCTCAAGTGCTGCTAAACTGCTTCTAAACACTCAGAGGCTCCGGTTGCTTCTCTGAAGGTTGGTAGTGTCTAACCTGTATAACAAGATTAGCCAGGGAACTGGGTTCTTCTCAGCAGTAATACAGTAACAGTCAATATTAGAGAGACAATCTGCTGTGTGTGTGTGTGTGTGTGTGTGTGTGTTGGTTATGGTACTGCTGAGCGTTCTGCTCACACTTTGAACATTACTTGTCTATCAAGATTAGCCATTTGGTTCTCAGCAGTAACAAGCTGATGTGTGTGTACATGTGTGTGCGGCAGTGCTGTGATTGCAGGGATGTGGATGTGCTGCAGATGTTTCAAATTTCTCTGGCATGACAAGCTGACACCTGGCTCAATCAGCTGAGAAGTTTGATTTGGTTGTGTTTTTCCCATATCCACGATGCTTTCGATTTTTCTTCCCTGCTGCAGGGGTTTGAAGTCCTGATTATATCCCTCCTGCTTTTACAGGTTTGCCCAAGTTTGAGGAGTGGGATTATATATTTTTAATGGAAATCTCCAGGGACATCACTCTTTGAAATGGCATCAGACAGCGAAGTGAAAACGTTACTGAATTTTGTGAACCTGGCCTCTAGTGACATCAAAGCCGCTCTGGACAAGTCTGCTCCCTGCCGCCGCTCAGTTGATCACAGGAAATACCTGCAGAAGCAGCTCAAGCGTTTTTCTCAAAAATATTCCAGGATCCCAAGATGCCCCACTAGCAAATCCATAGAATCCAGCTCGAAAAGGGGGACAGATGATAGAAATCGCAGCTCAAACCCAGACGGCTTGGATCCAAATCACTGCAGAGTTTCCAGTGAAAAGGCCCTGAGGCTATCAGAGGTGGAGGAGAACTTCAGTGGGGAACAGGTTTTGCAGGAGCAAAGCCCAGAATCTATAAGGCCAGACCAGGTGCCCATGAGGAAAAGACAGCTGCCTGCTTCCTTCTGGGAAGAGCCTAGACCAACTCAGAGTTTGCTTGTTGGGAGCTTTCCTGCTGGATTGGATGGGCTCCCAAATTCTAGGGACCTTCCTCCTTACAAGGGCAAGAAAAGCAAAAAAGGTCCTGATACCACAGAACCAGGGACCCCCCCGCTGCCTGCCCAACCCAGAGGGGAGAAGGAGCCTATCAAAGTGCCTGGGACCTCCTTATCTGGCCGGATGAACGCCTGGAGCTGCTGTCCATTTCAGTACCATGGACAACCTGTTTACCAAACCCATGGAGCCCTACCTCAGTCGCCCTTCCCAGGCCTGGGGCTGTGGAGGAAAAGCACAGCACCAGCAGGGGAGATCCAACACTTCTGCAAGGAGGCAGGCAGCATGGGGCAGAAACTATACAGACCAGTGGTTTTGAAACCCATCCCCACTAAACCAGCAGTACCACCTCCTATTTTCAATGTCTTTGGCTACATTTAACTTGAAGGAGGGGAAGGGAGGGAATTTTGTGCTGTATACGGTAGCGCTTACATTTCACTCTCATTTGAAACTGCAGATAGTGGCCCACTGTCACATGGTGGAGCAATTCTTATGGAAAGAATGTGCTCTCGTTTCCGTCTGTATGTAGATGGGCAGCTCTTACATGCTGCTCTTTTGATTGGAACGGCACAGGCTGGCTGACTTAAATAATGACTATGAGTACATTTGTGTGTCAGTCTCACTGCACTGGTGTAAATCAGGAATCAGCCTTATTGAAGCCAGTGCAGTTAAGTAACAGCAGAAATGGGCCTTCTGTATTTAATATGATTGTTTGTCCCAGGATGTGTGATGCTAAAAACCATTTGGAATCTGCACTGGTAACACCTGGGACCTCTTCCCTAAAGGAATGTCTTTATGGGAATGTGCTGCCCCAGCACAGCAATGACATGATTAAAGTGGTAACATCTCTTGTACTTTAAAGTCATGCTAAAGAAATCACTTAAGATTTTCAGGTCACTTCCTTTTGCATGCAAGATACTGATAGAAGAGTATTTAATGCAGAAGATAAGTTTGTAAATTGATTTCAGCTCTTCTCTCATGTAAATATCAAGAGAGTTAAAGAAAATAAACAGGTAATTTTATTTGTTTCCACATCTCCAATATGTTCAGATTGCAAGCTTGTTTTCCTCCCACGGAGTAGCCTCAGGTTCATTTTGTAAGGGGTTGTCACTCAGAATGTAAGGCTTGATGTGCCAGTCATTCACAGTGGTGTCAATCAGAAGTAGCTCCACTAAAGGTTATGATAGTAGCCAGTTTAAAACTGAAAGAGAGCAGACCTTCCCTGTGACAGCTGAGAGGATAGACTGGGAATGGTTTAGGGTTTGAACATGGAAAGTGCAAAATCCACGATATAAGAGCAAGGATTGAACAGAGAACAAATTGGCACTAAAGCCTCCGGGCATGTGTGCAGCAGAAATGCTACAGTGACCCATCTGCATTATAGTGCAGACACTTTATTACAGTGAGGGAAGGGCTTCTCCCATGGCTGTCATAAATCCCCTCCCAACAGGCAGCAGCCGCCAGACTGACAGAAGAAGTCTTCCATTGACCTATCACACCAGGGCTTAGGTGGACTGAGCTATGCATCACGGCAGGGGGCTGTAACTTTTCACACCCCTTAGTGACATAGGTAGGTCAACCTATGTTGTAGATGTAGACCAAGCCTCAGTTGATCAAGGCAATGAGATTTCCAGGGACAATTCTTTACTCTGCCTCAGGGTTGGAACACTCTGGGAGCTTAAATTGGCATGGCTACATTGTGCAGAGGTGATCCACATCCCCAACCAACAAAGCTATGCTGATCTAGCTCCCAGGATAGACAGCATGAAGTTGACAGAAAAATTTCACTGCACCTGTCCCTCTGTAGTGGTTTAAGCACAGACAGCCTTAAAATCAAGGCATATGCCTATATACAGACCTCACAGCATTACAACTGTACTGCTACCACTGTGCTGCTGTGGGGTCTCCTGTGTGACCCTCTATGCTGACAGGAGAGGGCTCTCTTGCCGCATAATAAAACTACCCCCAAATGAACGATGTCAGCAGGAGAGCACCTCCCAATGACATAGCGCTGTCTCATTGGTGCTTTTGTTGGTGAAACTTATGTCCACGAGGGAGGTATTTTTTCATACCCCTAATAGACAAAAGTTTTACTGACAAAAGTGCTGGTGTGGACATAGCCTAAGATGCAAAGGTGCAAGCAAACAAGTGCTCTAGTAGTTTTGAAGTTATCCACTCGTAAAGTTGGTGGTGTGTGGTGAAATCAGTGCTAAAAGGTGTGTTTTATAAACTTCTCTAAAGCAAAATAGGAGAGGGGACCTATGGTTAAATATTATGGACCTGATGCTCCAGTTGCTTAGTGGTGTAAGTCAATGAGGTGAAGAATCATACCATATGCATCTGGGACCTGATCCAACTCCTACAGGAGACAACAGGAAACTTTCTATGATTTCAGTGGTAGATGGGTCAGGGTTCTTTACTGTGGTACTATTGGCAGAGTGTCATTGACTTTAGTGGAGTTACTCCTGATTCTCACCTGTGTAAGAAGAGAATCAGGCTCAACACCTTTTGAGGGCCTAACTATTGTAAAGAAAATGATCAACTAAACAGAAACAGAAGGGTGGATCCTCAATTTTTTGGCTGGTATAATGGGATGGACCTTCAAGCATTCACACCATGGGCTTGTATGTGGACTGAAACTTTTGTTAAGGGCATGCAGACTGGGGGCCGGGGGGGAGGAGGACAACATTTTTTTTCCAGCTCAAGGATAATCCCGATAGTAACTTGAAAGTGAAGCCAAGGTAGGTTATTCCTGCAGTCCAAAAATAACAGCATGAAAGACATACTAGGCTTCATTTCCTTCTCCTAGTGCAAAGGAGGCATTTTACACCACAATTGTCTTATTTGGTAGCATTTTTTCATAGATGTAAATGACAGCACATGATCCAAAAGAATCAGCTCTACAGGGCCTTCGGGACAAGCATGGAAGCGTGGGTGTGGCTCCTCTACTGTACTTCAATACCCCCTCCTTGACTTCTGAAAAGATGCTATGGTGAGGCAGTATCCCTGATCCTGCATCCATTGAAGTGTTATGCAAAACTCACTTGTAGGAGGAGAAATTAACTCAAGAGAGGCAAGCTGCACTGCCATAGACAAGGAGTTCCTGCAGCTCTTTCTCACATGAGTGACGCTAACTCATGCTTGTAATCAAACTGAGACCAATGGGCCAGAAGCTGAATGTAGCCACCCTTCATGGCGTGGTGTGAACACACAGTAGCTTCACTGGAGGTGGGCCAGGCTGCCACCAGGCAGGGTGACTGGGATCAGCACCCATCTCTCTGGAACCAGTTCAGAATGTACAGTTCTATCAAAATGTCATTTCAGAGGACAGTGCGGAGGGGAAGGGAGAGTTCTGACAATGTCCAACCACTTCTGTTTTATTTTGAAGTGACTTTTCATTTAGAATTTTTTATTTTGTAGGATCAGGTGTAACACTATAATATGATAACTTTGATAAAGTCAGAATTGAACAAAATGTCGAAATGAAACATTTCTGTCACCTGGAAACTGTGTGAGTGTGTGTGGTGTGAACAGCCAGCCTCCTGCACCCCCACCTTCTGCCCTGAGTTCTCCCTCCCACATCCCAGCTCCCACACACCTCCCAATCCCATGGTCTGACACCCACCCTAAGCCATGCACTGAGCACTTCTAGTTCCACAGCTGGGACCCTTCATGGAGTTCTGGTGTATTCTAAGAAGTGCAATCATTGTGCCTCCCGAATGCAAATGGCATCATTACATGTAGATGAAGTAACTTCTTCTCAAGCCATCCAGGAACCTAGCAATTATACAACCTCTCCCTTAGCAATCCTAGTTGCCTTTATAGTATTATTTGTTTGGATTGGTTCCAACTTTCCCCAGACACCTCTCTATCTAGGTCTTCAGATCAGCAGGTAACATTTTAGAATGTTAGTTCACTTGCACTTTGGTTAGAAGCTGAAAACCATAATACCTGAAAGCCATCATTTGTTAAAACATAATACAAATCTAAAATGTCAAAACCCACACTAGATTTTATAAATAATGGCAAAAAAATTAATATAGTTGAAAAAGCTTTTGTACAAAAAAGTGCACAAGAACATAAAGTGAATTGCACGTTTCCATAAAGAGGTATAGTAATCTATTTAGTTTTCCTGGAACACCTGACAACCATCCTCAGCACTGAAGATGTCTGTCCTGATGCATAAAACTATGCTGTTTTACTACACATTGGGACTACTGAACTGGTTCCAAAGCCCTGGATCCAAAGTTTTTTTTTTTTCATTTCACAATGAATTTCATTTGTATTCACTGTTAAAAATGAAAGGAGAACTTGTACAAATACAGGACATTGGGTGTGAGAGAGGTAGCCTGCCCTGTTTTAGTGCAAATAAATGTAAAGTTAACTGTGTAAAGATTGTCAATGAGGCTCAAGCAGGAAGGATAAAGTGATACTGCAATTGCTAGGTCAATTCTTCAATGGAGTAATCTCTCCTCAGTTTATGTGCATAGTATGGACCTGATTCTGCTCTTGCTTGCACTAATTTTACACTAGGGTAGGTCTGTTGATTTCAGTGGCAGGACATCCTACTGATATAAATAGGACAGAGCAATCAGGCCTGAATGTAGCCAAGCAAGGACTAACACATCTTGGCTGAGAGAGGTTTTTTTTTTTTTTCTCAACATGTACCCCGTGTCAGTTCTTCCAGGCTCAACAAAATAAAACAACCCTGCAACTCGTGATCATTTTGCGCATGTAAAGTTTTCCTCTGCATGATTTTCCTCAGCTTTGGCTTGCTTATGAAATCTGACCACTTCTGTATGTACACAGTTTATTCTTTCAATTAATTCCACCAGCAAGGTGGACTTGGATAATCAGATTATACATAAAATAGATAGTTAGGCAAATAAGCTCCACCGCACTGTGTTCCAGTGTCAATACCTATTTGCAGCTCAGTCCGAATCTTGCCTGTGACACTAGTTTAATTTCAGGGGACTTGTTCCTGAGTTATACTAATGGAAATAAGCAAGAACCAGGCCCTAAATGTTTGACCCACATGAGTGTGAGCTATGCAAGCTAAACAGGTAGTTTTTTAAAATATATTAAAAATTACATAGTTCACACAGTGCTGCTAGGACTATCTGACCTGGACCATGGAAGCTTTTCACATGTGGGTGTGCACTTATAGACATCAGTCTTTTCAGTGAAGTGAGTGCTCAATAGCATAAGTATGGGCTGTGTGGACAAGCTGTACATCTATTCACGTAGAGTGTTAATGTTAAATACTCAAACGACAGGCTGTATCTGAGCAGCTAGCTCTAGAGCTTCCTTTTAGGCCACCACTAACGTGCCTGGGATCACAAGGAAGGCTCCCAGTTTGAGTCTTTTTCTGATTCTTTATTGCATGCTTGTTTCTTGCCAAATTGTGGCTCCTTATTGATAACATGGGGGGCTTTAAGAGGTGTCAAAATTGTATTCTTAGAATTACATAACACTTTGCAGAAGTGGCATGCTGCTGAGCTTAGTCACCAGACAACAGGGGTGCTTTCCAGAGCTCTCTCTGGAGAACTGTTGGCAAACACCAGAGGCTGGATGCTCGCTAGTGTAGTTGGGTATTTCTCCACTGGAGAAACAGGTGCTGTGCCCAGCTACACTAGCTGTGGAGCTGTCACCTATTCAGATTTTCAATCTGAGGTTGCTTTATCAACTGCTCAGCATCCAGCAGCACCTGGCCCATTGTTAGTTTTGGAATGGAAAACAGCCTGCTGTTTGGCATCTCTTTTGTCCTTTTCCTCCATTCTAATCACGACAGCAGCGTGTCATTCGCCAAATCAGGTGAGGAAGACGCGGTCAGCATGACTGTTAGGGTATGTCTACACTGCATTCTTCTTTCGAGAGAGGAATGCAAATGCAGTTAGCAAAATTGCAATTGAAGCGCGGATTTGAATTTCCCACACTTCATTTGCATAATCGCTTCCGGCCACTTTTTCGAAATACCCTATTTCGAAAAAAGAAATGCTGTCTAGACACGGTTATTTTGAAAGAAAACCCTTCATTCGAAATTACCCTTACTTCTTATAAAATGAGGTTTAAGGGTAATTTTGAAAGAAGGGTTTTCTTTCTAAATAACCGCATTTAGAGAGTGTTTCTTTTTTCGAAATAGGGTATTTCGAAAAAACGTCCGGACGCAATTATGCAAATGAAGCACGGGAAATACAAATCCGCGCTTCATTTGCAATTTTGTTCCTCTGCATTTGCATTCCTCTCCCGAAAGAGGAATGCAGTGTAGACATACCTTTAAAGATGAGTCTCACAGGGATAGCCATGTTAGTCTATAGCTGCAAAAATAAGGAGTCCTGGGGTATCTTATATCTTTTGAAATAATCCACATACCAAGCCCATTATTTTGAAATAACAGGCTGGTTATTTCGAAATCTGTACTCCTGCTTTCCTCGGGGAATAAGCTTATTTCAAATTAGTTATTTTAGGAGTTATTATTTAGTTATTTCGAAATAATGTCCTAGTGCAGACATGCTCTTATGGCATGTCTACACAGCAAAGTTATTTCGGGAAACCAGAGGTAACTCAAAATAGCTACCCCGCATCTTTTGAACGTGTCCGCTATTTCAAAATATAGTGGAAGCGCTATTTCACCATCCCTGTAAACCTCACTGTACAGGGAGTAAGGGATGGCTCAAAATATCTTATTTCGAGTTTCAGGTACTGTATAGACGCACCCTTAGAAACTGACAGAGTTATTAGGGCATAAGCTTTCATGGGTTAAACCCACTTCATCAGGTGAATTGAAGTGGAAATTATAGAGGTAGGGTCGTGTGTGTGTGTATATATATATATATATATACACACACACACGACCCTACCTCTATAATAGGATCAGCGTTAATGAGACACATCCACTCTGACTTGATTAGTCTCATTAACACAAGTCCTACACTTGATAAGTAACTTCTTTCTTTTGCTGTACTTTTATAAATGTATACTCCTGCCTCTATAATTTCCACTCCAATTCATCTGATGAAGGGAGTGTTATCCACAAAAACGTATGCCCTAGTAACTCTGTTAGTCTCTACAGTGCCATGGGACTCCTCGTTTTTGTTACAGAGGAGAATGAGGGGCTGGGATTTCAGTGACAGCAGGAGTAAATAAAGTCAATGGGTGGAACTGTCCCTATTTTCACTAGCTGAGGAGCTTGCCACGCACTAACCACTTTCTTCAAAGCTCTGCTAGAGGATCACAGCTCAGTCTGAATAGAAAAGGTATTGGTTTATCAGCTGCCATTGCATTTTGAAAGGGGACAGTAAACACACAGAGGTGTAGTTAGCAGCAGCTGTTGCTACTGTTGGTTACATCTCATTCCACAAGCGCAAGAAGCTGTCTCACTCCAAACTCTATGCAAAACCAGACACGCACATGTGCAATACACATATAGTGTTGGGTTGAAGTGTATAAGGCTACAAAAAGAAACTTTTGTGCAGTGCAGCTCTGTTTGACGGGAGTAACAGCATTTTCCCTACGTAGATTTTTATCTGAATCCATAGCTCAACAAACAAAATCATACCTAATACATGTATGCTTGTACTTGCCAATAATCTCTGGTATGAATCCAAAGCAGACTGGAGCCCAAAACTCCATTGTGTTCAGAATATCAGGATGAATAGCCAGTGTATTTCTAGGTCAAGATTTGCAAAGACAGGTGTCTAAAAAAGTACCTTTTTTTTAAACATTATACAGGGGCTCCAATAAATGACTTGATTTTCAAAGAGCCTGTAATCTAGCAGCTTCCACTGATGTCAGGGTGAGGTTCTGGGTGCTCAGCAGTTTTGAAATTGAGGCAACATTGGGCCAATTATGATGCTCTAATTCTCCTTACGTAGCATCTTATTCCACAAGTGTCTTCAGTGATCTCAGTGGAATTACTTGTAGCATAAGTAAATGTTCAGTGTAAGTGTACTGTAACCTGGCATTTATTAAATGCTTAAATAAGGATATAGGAGCCTAATTTTGAGTACCCTTTCTGGAAAATTTTAGAGCCAGGCTTTATCATTTTGAAAAAAATCTCACTCTTCCGCAAGCAACAGGCATTCAGTACCTTGGCTCCACTTAAATCTGTCACCTAAAATTCAAGGCCTGATTCTACTCTTGTGGCAATTTTGTGCACTGATGTCTCTGGTGCTAGATCTGATTTACATCTGTTAAAAGGACCTCAGAATTGCTTTTGGATCTTCATTGCAGAAATTCACTTACCCCAGAGCCTTGTCTTCTTCTTTTGCACATTTAATATACTTCAAACAGTATTTATCATGAGCTAAATCCTTCAGTCCTTAGATTGTACTCAAAGTGTCCACTGACTTTAACAGGAATTCAGGGTGAGTCAAGTCTTCTAGGTTTTCACTAATATTTATAAAATGTCTTTGTTGAGGGGAAAAAAATCTTCTCAGAAGTTTTGAGCTTCGAATGCTTGCAAATCAAGTGAACTGTTCACAAGAAAGGCCAAAAGAAGCAACAAATAAATATGTAAGAGAGACAGTGTCAAGGGACCAGAGAATTAGCAACCTGCCAACTGCTCCGTCTAACACAACAGAAATCAAAATAACACTCAGGGAATTCAAATGCGATTGTCAAAAATCTGAATATCTGGGGAAATAATTAGACTCTTGAGAACTGAAGAACTCTAACCTCTGTAAGAGCTTCCAGTCCTTTTTGAATCTTTCAGTGTCACTTGGTTTTGATTCTCTGTTAGTTTTTCAGTGCTGGCTTTCCTGTCTGATTCCATACAATGGAGCTCTGATATGTGTAACATTACAAAGCACTTTTTGTTTTCCTTTGAAAAAAAAATCAAAGGGTAGCCTGTCCCATTTGTGTCTCTCTGTGTCCTTTACTCTCTCTTTCCAGAAATGTAATGCACATAGGTTAACTATGGGGTGATACTGTCTGATAGGTGACATAGGTTTTTTCCCATCATGCAGTCCATTCTTCATGATCATGTGAATACTCTCCTCTCTAATGAAGTGGGTTCTTGCACCAGGAAGCTGCTGATCACCAGATTTGCATGAGGTCACTGTGAATAATCATACTGTAGGTATCGGATCAGTCTGCCCGGCAGAGGCAAAGTGTCAATCAGTTTAATGCGGTTTCTCCCAATCACATTTCGTACCTTGATCCGGCAAAGGTGAGCGAGAGGCCTCGGGGGCTCTGGAAAAAGAGAGGGGACCTAAATGTTAGCCAGGCACTTTCAGATCAGTCAGGTTATTAAGCTAGATCAGAGCCTTGCATACTGAGCCATTACATTTGTTAGGGGCTATGAAGAATGGCCCCCCCAGAAGCAGAGTCCATGCAGCGAAAGGGGATGAGCTATGGGTTGAGCCATGTATGGCGTGTACTCTACATCCTCTGCACAATATGCAGCTCAATTCCATGGCAGCTCCGTGTGTGCTGCAAGCAGGGGTGGGGCAGATAAGATAGTGGGACCATAGGGGAGCAGCAGTGGGGTAGAGGTGGGATTCCTGGGCTAGAGGTGGGATTCCTTCCTTCTCTTTTCCCTCATCCCATCTCAACTCTTCAGACCCTGAGGCAGCTACTTAGGTATGCTACAGGCAGCTGAGAATCAGCACCTTAATGCATATCCCGCACTAACCACAGCCTGCTTCCAGTCAGTCAGACATCGCAGCCCTGCGGAGTTCTAGCTTCAGACTTGTCAGGAGAGAACAGCTGGCTCCATGTGCTTGCACAGCACACTGCCACATGGGGCTCAGAGCTACTACGCCCCTTGTTCTCAGGCTGGCAGAAGCAGAGACACAATGTGAGAAGGAAGAGAGGAAATACTTCAAATAGCTCTGTGGCAACACCTCTGGCTCCACCAGAAATCACGTCCAGCCCTCCTAGACCAGAACAATGGGTAGGCACAATATGAGGCCTCAAAGTGGGGGAGGGGGGTGGAATGGAAGAGGTATCCCCAGAGTTCTGCAGAGGACTGAAAGAATCCCCATGAAAGAAGGAGATTTGTAAATATGAAGGGGGAATTAGGGGAACCCTTGTGCCAATGAACCAAGTCACCAGGCCATCCCCTGCATTACAAAATGCCAGCCATGAGGATCTGCCAGCTCAGCTGTCATTAGAGTTGACCCAAATGCAAGCTGACACCTTACAAAAAAGGTGGAGCTGCAAATATAAACTAGATGAAAGCTAGATGGATTAACACAAAATAGTCTCTTTCTTTCTTGAACAGTGAAGTCTCACTGGGACCTATGGCTGCCCATGCATTTATGGGGCATGGTCTAGAGCAGAAAGAGAGGCCTAGCTATCAAGACATGTGCAGTCCATTTAAGATGCATCTACTGTTTCACTGATCAGTTTTTGGCAATTTACTTAACTATACTCATTTTCCCACTATTACTTACCCAGCTCCCCGGGGTGCTGTGGCATTCAACTCTTCCAAAAAAATTACAGACTTAGTAAGGATGAACCAAAGTACAGTTCAGTATACATTGCACTGAAAAGCTACCCTATCTTTCCAAGAGGGATCCAATAATACAGCATCCTACCTGTGAAAGGAGGTGGTTTCTAACTGGCATTTTATGACAATCGGTCAGTCTTCCTACAATGTGATTCCCCGGTCCCAATTCTGGCCTGTGTAATGCAATTCACTCATGTTTACTTCTGGCCTGTGTAATGCAATTCACTCAGAATCATACCTGCTTTCTCTTTAACGACTGCCCAGTCCTCGTAGCTGTCTATGTGCTCTTTGAGTCGGGCACAGAGCTGCACATTGCCCACATAATCCAGGAGGACATCAATAATAGGCCCGGCCCAGCGATCCATCTCTGGAGCAGACACCAAGTCACAAAACTGAAACAAAAGCCACAGCTCCTGCAGTCAGTGTGAGAGTGATACCTTCCTCAGGAGAAAAAAAACCTGTCAGGACATCAAATTGGTTACACCTTCCTACCACGGATAAGGACAGTTCTTTATTTTCCCTGTGAAAACTTCATTGCTGTTGAGGGCAAAATCACCCCTTCTCCTACTGTGGTTGAGAGAAACAAAATCCCAGGGGAGTCCTGGCCTTGGAAGGGATGTTAACTGCCTACAGGGCAGAGTATTCTCTGTCATCCAAAAAGGGTCCTCAATGAAGCCAAGGATCCATGAGTGGCTGGGTGCTTGGATGAGAGTCCACAGTTTCACGTACACACCAGCAGAGAATCTGCTTTAGAGTCAAAACAACTGTAGGCTCTATTACTCTTAGCATGCTCCTTTTCTCTTCTTTGGAATCCTAGTTTGGGAAAGTAGGGGGTAGTGGTTAGCAGGGCAGGCACTGTCAGCTGACAGGGGCTAGGAGGTAGTGTCAGGCACAGGACTTTAGCATGGAAGGCCGAGGCCTCTAGTAGATTGCCTGAGATCGGCAGAGGATCTGAACTCCTGACCACAGAACAGTCTTGTGGAGAAACTACAAGTTAAACCATGTGAAGCTTCTGCTTCACTCCGTAGGTTATTCTGTGCTGGAAAACAATCTGGGCCTAATATGGGGCCAAAGCCTGCAGTCCCCCTTACTTTCTCCTGAAGCAGGAAAAATGTATTGTCAGTGCAAGCTAGAGGACACCCAGCGCCTTTGAGCAAGAGGCCACTCATTTAGGTGCCTCAATACAATTTAGGAGTCTGACTTTCAGCACCCAAATAAATGTGGCCAATCTTTCTACATAAACCTAATTCAGTCCAACAATTTATTTTAGGGGCTGTGTCATGACCATACCGAAGTATCTGGAAATTTTCCAAGTAAATTAGATCTGTGTTACAAGGTCCCCTGTGGACTTCAGTGAAACTACTGCTCTTCTCCTGGGCTGTGTCTACATTGGCACCCCTTTCCGGAAAAGGGACGCTAATGAGACACTTCGGAATTGCAAATGCCGCGAGGGATTTAAATATCCCCTGCGGCATTTGCATGAACATGGCTGCCGCTTTTTTCCGGCTCGGGGTTTTGCCGGAGAAAAGCGCCAGTCTAGACGGGATCTTGCGGAAAATAAGCCCTTTTCCGCAAGATCCCTTATTCCTACTTTCAAGTTCCTACGTTCAACTTTCAAGTAGGAATAAGGGATCTTGAGGAAAAGGGCTTATTTTCCGCAAGATCCCATCTAGACTGGTGCTTTTCTCCGGCAAAACCCCGAGCCGGAAAAAAGCGGCAGCCATGTTCATGCAAATGCCGCAGGGGATATTTAAATCCCTCGCGGCATTTGCAATTCCGAAGTGTCTCATTAGCATCCCTTTTCCGGAAAGGGGTGCCAATGTAGACACAGCCCTGGTGATAAGAAGTTCTATTTGGGCTACACAGGCCTGATTTCTCCATACCTTGCACCTGGTATTGACATTCGCACGTCCCTAAAGGAAGCACAAAGTGAGTGTAAAGTGCTACCACATCCAAATGGCAGCACTTTTTACCCATTTTGTCCAGGCTTAACTGATGACACATGATACAAGACAACGCAGAAGCAGATCCTCTGTCTAATCTTTTTATTCTTCTTTCCTCTGACAGTCATGTTCTCTGCACATGCACTTTCAAACTCTCATCAGACAAACGAACAGAAAATGTTCTGAGGGAGAAAACCAGAAAGTGCAACCCTAGGAAATGTGTGTGTCACAGAGACAAAATTACTGGGACTGGTATGTCTCCGGACTCCACTCTCTGCACAAAGGTGTTGACATTCCCCCAAGACCTCTTCCTCTTGGTTCCACCAAGAATTCAGTTCAACTCCAGTCTTATCACACACATTCCTTTATCTGACAGACAGCAAAGTTACTCTGAGTTGATTACACTCATGCAGAGTGGGTGAGAATGGGCCTACCACACATCCAGAGTTACACAACAAACCTCATCCTTTACATACATTTTCATATTATGCTCCATGGACTATACATTGCATCATATGTTTTGGGACTGACTTGGATATTCTGTAGTAGACCAATTTCCATAAGGCTTGTGTGATGCCTATGACCCTAGTCAAACATGGGATTTCTGAAGCTTAGTGTATGAGCCTCTTCTGTGTGAACCAAAAGCCAAATGGTTCTTAGCCAAAGCCACAACAGATTCATCAATCGGTAGATGGTCTAGGTGCACCACTCCAAGCAGACATGATTTACACATGCAGCGTCCATGCACAATTGATTCTTTACCTCATCGTTACACTCATGATTTAGCTCATCCATTTTATTTTTTCTACTAAAAATGGTTCCCTGAGTGATTCTCCTTAATTTATCTAGAGTAGATATTCTGTTTCCAATCTGCCTAATCTGGTCTCCCTGTGTCCAATTACTCATGTGAAGCCAGACCCACAAAAGGTACATGCCCTCTAGTGGCATTACAATAAATTACTCTTCATCTTCACATTTCCAGCATTCTAATTCTCAGTACATGAACTGAGAAGAAATCAACTGTTTCCCTTTTTACATGGGTAAGTGGAACATTTTATAGAATCAAAAACTAATATATTTGTAGCCTGATCTCCTCTGTTTATTCTAATGTTCATAGAAGTCATAAATACTATAGCTTGGAACAATAAACTTTAGCAACAATAGTAATATGTAGTGGTGTATTTTTCAGTTCATCTCCAATATCTAGTTATCTTTTCTGTGTAAAGATTAATAATTCTGATCTATTATCAGCTGCTGGTCTGTAAACATTTACTGGAGAAAAGTTTGGGACATATGTAATTTCAATCTAATATGTATGTTTTTTATGAGGACAAATTTAATGACAAAGGTCCCAAATGATCTCCTGATCTTTATTTCATAGTATAAAGCTATACAAAAGTATTAATAAACTAAACCATGTACATCCATCTTTTATTAACCAATCCCCTAGTGTCAAGAAGCAAATCTGGTAACAATTCTGTTACAGGAGGAGGAAAATGCCTTAAAACACTAGAACGAGAAGGGACCTTCTATGCTCTGTATGAATTAGAGCTGCAATGATTTCTGTTTTACTTTAGGCACAAATGGGACTTTATAAGACTTTAATTAGTTGTGTCATGTCAATTTTAAACTGAACAATCTTCAGGACAGCAACTTAGTTTTGTGAGGCATCTGGTACATTTTTAGGCATTGAATAATACTAATAATGTTAGCTGAGATCCAGAAATGAGTTATTTACATGAGTAAAATATGAACTGGTTTTGAGTTGCTTGAAATCATAGATGGCTATAAATGAAAACCTTATGTCCTTAGAATTCTAATCATTCTAATCATGTTGAGTTTCATCTATGTCTTGTATACCTGATGGAGCCTGTTTTCTTATTTTCATGGAGAAAATCATGGCACCCAAGTGATATTTGCCTTGTGACAGGTACACACTTAGTTTGGGATCAGTGTATTGTCCTTATGGGTGAAGCTTTCCTACATTCTCCAGCAAGGCTTTTCTTTCTAGATTTGTCTTAAAGAAAATATAATTTCAAGAGAAGCTGCAGCATCCTTCAAGTGCCTTTAGACTCCTGATCCTTCTCTACATTCTTTCCTTAACTGTTTTCACTCTGAGAAAGGCCCATGGCCAGTGAACATACTTCTGGGCACAGTCAACTGGATGGATCTCTACTGACATCTATAAGTTGCTCCCAAATAAGACATCATGGGTATGTGTAGACTGCATCCCTCTGTTGGCAGAAGGATGCAGATTAGGCAGGTCGACATTGCAAATGAGGCAGGGATTTAAATATCCCGCATCTAATTAGCATAAAAATGGCCGCTATGTTTTGCCAACTCAGCACTTTGTTGGCAAAAAGCGGCAGTCTAGAGGGGGATCTGTCGAGAAAGAAAGCCTTTTTCGAGAGATCCTGTAAACCTCTTTGAAGGGGGCATAAGGGAGAGAGGGATGCAGTCTAGACATACCCAATGGCTGTGTCTACACTGGGCCACTTATTCCAGAAAATCAGCCGCTTTTCCGGAATAAGCTGTGAGCTGTCTACACTGGCCTTTGAATTTCCGGAAAAGCAACGATGCTCTACTGTACAAAATCAGCCGCTATTCCGGAAAAACTATTCTGCTCCCGCTCGGGCATAAGTCCTTATTCCGGAACACTATTCCGGAAAAGGGCCAGTGTATACAGCCCAGTAGTCTTTTCCGGAAAAATAATAATAATAGGTGGAAGGAGAGAAAAGAAAGGAATAAGAATCCCTGATTTCAGTGTCCTTTGTGGCACTTCTGCCCAAAAGAAGCAAGCAAACAAACAAACCCTTAAACTCTAAAATATATCATTGCTAACTACTTAACACTGCTTGTTCCAAATATGGCCAAAAAAGGATTTCCATATAGCACATAAGATTTTGATCATGTCACTTATTAAAATATATTAAAACTAGAGGATTTACCAGCTTGGGTCCTTGTGAGGACACAGAGGCTACGCCTAGACTGCATCCCTCTGTCGACAGAGGGATGCAAATCAAGCACGTCGAAATTGCTAATGAAGCAGGGATTTAAATATCCTGCACTTCATTAGCAATAGCATGGCCACTGCTTTTTTCGAAACAGAGCTTTTTAAAAAAAAAAACAAAAAAAATGGCAGTGTAGACGCATATCTGTCAAAAATAAACCCTTTTTCGACAGATCCTGTATGCCTCAAAAAATGAGGTTTACAGGATCTGCTGAAAAAAGTATTATTTTCAATAGATCCGCATCTAGACTGCCAGGTTTTTTCGAAAAATCTCTGTTACGAAAAAAAGCGGTGGCCATGTTTATGCTAATGAAGCACGGGATATTTAAAGCTATATTTGCATTAAACCAAATGACTGGAGTTCTGAATATTCACTAGGATTACTCTCCCTACTAGAAGGGCAAGAAACCAAATTTTATTTTAATCAATAGGGTAGAGTTTGTAAAAAACACCACCTTATCCCCTGAAAAGAGTGTGGTCCCTCTTGCAATAGCCTGCCACTGGCTGGAGCACCCTGGACAAAGACCACTAAAAAAGTACACTCCTTTTGGTACACAGTGGAACATTGGAACGACAGACCACATATCATCCAATGGACCACTGTGGAATGAGTCCAATAGAGCACCCAATGGATGGTCAAAGTTTATTGGTCAGTTTTTAATTTAAAAAGTCTAAAATAGACAAATGTTTCAAGGCAGATCTCTTCTGCCGAACCGCAAGAGGAAAGAACGGATGTTACTTAGGTAATTTAATTCATGATGGCTCAAATACCAGACAGTGTGATATAAATGCCTACATATGAAAGCTGGTCCAATGGTTAGAGCACTAGCTGAGGATCTGTTTTCAATTTCCAGCTGTGCTACAGACTTCCTGGGTGACCTTCTGCAAGTCACTTAGCTTTTTGTGACTCAGTTTTCCATTTGTGAAATGGGGAGAACAGCCCTGCCCCACTTCATAGGAATGCTGGGAGGATAATTACATTAAAAACTGTGAAGCACTCAGATACTATGTTAATGGTGGTCACATAAATATCATAGATTGATTAGATTTGATAGCACTTACCTGTACTACGTGTGGCTGTTTGTTCACCTCGGTATCGTCATATCTGTCCCTTCTATGATCTAGCACAGGATGTGGACCATTTCCATACTGGCACTTAAAACAGGATTTGGCATCACAACCTAGATCCATTAGAAATTTGAGCAGAGCAAGGTACTTCATTGAAAACATGATGGTAGCTGGGAAAGTCGTAGGATGGCTAGAAATGTATGCATCAATATTCGCCCCGTGATCTAGAAGCAGTTTCATGGTTTTCAGGCAGCCATGGCGAATGGAGATTAGCAGGGGGTTGATTAGATCAACATTGGGGTTGGCACCAGCCTGCAGCAGCAGCTCCGTGGCATAGATATTATTGTTAATGACAGCGAAGTAGAGGACGGTGCTGCGCCTGTCCTCATAGAGCCGGGCTCTCTCAAAGGAGAGGGTGGCATTCACATCATAGCCGGCCTCGATGAGCTCTTCCAAGATGTCATTGTTGTTGCGCTCAGCTGCAAGATGGAGTGGGCTGATGCCACTGCGCTTGATCCGAGTGCGGCTGGTCACGGGGAGCAGCATTTTGACTATCCTGCAAGAAGGGGATTCAGTGGATAGCTGTTAGACAGTGATAGGCCCAGGAGTGAGCCTGCTGCTGAAGAAAGTGAAGCACTGCTAACACAGAGATGAGTAGTACAGGCTCCCCCACAATGCACAATGTCAATGCATCTTCATCCTGACAGCATGGGGGCAAAAGCAACTGGGTCAGGCACCCACCCATCTCATCCGAGCGGTTCTGACAATGGCCATCACCAGCCGCTTCAGTGGAAGGAGCAGGATAATCTGTCTCTACATTAGGTCTCTTCCTTGTCTCTAATAATTAGAATTGGCTTGGGCCTCTAAGCATTTATATGTGCAAGAAGGTTCTGAATCAATGCTTCCATTACAGCCAGCTGGAATGGGAAAGGAATCCTGGGTGTGATTATGTAAATACACTTCATTCAGCTTGCTTAGGCCTGTTTGATAACCAACTGTTAGAAGGTGTTTTGCCCATTGTAACCAACTTGGCTGTTGAGGGGGGTCACAAACTATGTTAACAGTACATGCAGGAATTGTAAGATCTGACCACTACTGCTTGCAGTTATTGTGGGAATGCACAATGCAGAAAAGTCAGACTTGTTTTTAGAAGCTCACTTAAAAGGAGAGACACTGTTAGCGTAAATACATTTGGATGGATAAAGGCCGCTTTTTCAGAGCCCTATAAATATGGTTACCATATTTTCTGAACAAAAATTAGGGACACGTTGGCCATGCCCCCGGATCCCCGTTATCCACTCCCACTGGCCCTCTTGTTAGCCACACTTCTAAGCCCCCATTAGACATGCCCACTGCCACAAGAAGTCCCACCCCTGGAGGTAGTATTTCCAGGGTCAAGCTGGACACATGACCAGAAGTAAAGGGTATTGTGACTCCTCTAAGAACTCCTCCCACTGTCCTCCTACCAATAGGGATGGGCGTGGCCTTCACAAGATCTCCCATGCAACTATCCTGCAATTGCATTAACCCAATTTGTATTGCATTAACTCGGGGGGAGAGGCTGGGGGAAGTGTTCCCTCTAAGATTTTCCTCCCATGTGTGGAGTGAATTTTGTCTTGTGCATCAGTATTGAGGTCATGTACGCTTGTTCAGATGTGTGCCACTGTAGCACCCAAGTTATTCATAAATATCTTATAAACCTCTCCCTTTCCCCTCTGCTGCCATGTCTCCTCCCCTCCCCTCACCCTATCTGCTCCCCTGGTGCCTGCTGCCCCCCACTCCGACCCTCCTCTGCTGCTTGCTTCTCACTCCCCTTAGCCTTTTGGGAATCTGCCCCCTCCCCATCCTCCTTGACCCCTGCACCCACCCTTTTCTTTCCCTTGCGTACATTCTGATCATCCGTAGCTACACCTCCCCATCCCCTCTCCTAACACCTCCCTCTATCCACCTGCTCTGCCTCTCTCCTCTGGTTCCAGTCCTTTCCCTCCATGTGTCTGCCCTTCTGCTTCACCCCCACATTCCCCTGGTACTTGCACGTTTCCCTTACCCCTGCACATTCCTGGTGCCTCCCCTTCCCTCAGTGCCCCTGCCCTCCTTGTCCTCTTTCTCCTTGGTACCTACCCCATCACCACCCTTTGCCCCAAATCTCCTCAAGACACTCTATGCCCTCACATATGACTTGCTCCATCCCCTGTTTTCCTCATGCCCACCTCTCCTCTCAACCCCTCTTCTCCTGGCACCCACTCCTCTCCTCTCCTCTCCCTCCCTCTTGCCCCCATTGTCCCTCCCCTCTCCCAGCATCACCCTGTTCCCTCCCTTCTCCCAATTCCACTGACACCTTCCCTCCCACTCCTCCTTCTGCCCTTTTCCTCATTGTCTCTTCTTGGCCCCATGGCATTTGTCTCTCCTCCACCCTGCCCCTTGGTGCCTTCCTTGCCCTCCTCTTCCCTCAGCACCTGCCCCTTTCCTCACCTTCTGCCTTCGATGTGGAAAGCAGTTTGCGGGGCTGGAGCTGGGCTGCAATGCTATTTTTATTACCACAGTCTGTCCCCAGAAGCTCCCACAGTCCCAGCCCCAGCTGCTCCCGCGGCAGGGCTGCATGCTGGGACTGGAGCAGAGGCCGCCCACAGTGCTGTGTGTAGTACTGTGGTTCCGGTCCCCGCCGGGCTCTCTCAAAGGAGAGGGTGGCATTCACATCATAGCCGGCCTCGATGAGCTCTTCCAAGATGTCATTGTTGTTGCGCTCAGCTGCAAGATGGAGTGGGCTGATGCCACTGCGCTTGATCCGAGTGCGGCTGGTCACGGGGAGCAGCATTTTGACTATCCTGCAAGAAGGGGATTCAGTGGATAGCTGTTAGACAGTGATAGGCCCAGGAGTGAGCCTGCTGCTGAAGAAAGTGAAGCACTGCTAACACAGAGATGAGTAGTACAGGCTCCCCCACAATGCACAATGTGAATGCATCTTCATCCTGACAGCATGGGGGCAAAAGCAACTGGGTCAGGCACCCACCCATCTCATCCGAGCGGTTCTGACAATGGCCATCACCAGCCGCTTCAGTGGAAGGAGCAGGATAATCTGTCTCTACATTAGGTCTCTTCCTTGTCTCTAATAATTAGAATTGGCTTGGGCCTCTAAGCATTTATATGTGCAAGAAGGTTCTGAATCAATGCTTCCATTACAGCCAGCTGGAATGGGAAAGGAATCCTGGGTGTGATTATGTAAATACACTTCATTCAGCTTGCTTAGGCCTGTTTGATAACCAACTGTTAGAAGGTGTTTTGCCCATTGTAACCAACTTGGCTGTTGAGGGGGGTCACAAACTATGTTAACAGTACATGCAGGAATTGTAAGATCTGACCACTACTGCTTGCAGTTATTGTGGGAATGCACAATGCAGAAAAATCAGACTTGTTTTTAGAAGCTCACTTAAAAGGAGAGACACTGTTAGCGTAAATACACTTGGATGGATAAAGGCCGCTTTTTCAGAGCCCTATAAATATGGTTACCATATTTTCTGAACAAAAATTAGGGACACGTTGGCCATGCCCCCGGATCCCCGTTATCCACTCCCACTGGCCCTCTTGTTAGCCACACTTCTAAGCCCCCATTAGACATGCCCACTGCCACAAGAAGTCCCACCCCTGGAGGTAGTACTCCCAGGGTCAAGGTGGACACATGACCAGAAGTAAAGGGTATTGTGACTCCTCTAAGAACTCCTCCCACTGTCCTCCTACCAATAGGGATGGGCGTGGCCTTCACAAGATCTCCCATGCAACTATCCTGCAATTGCATTAACCCAATTTGTATTGCATTAACTCGGGGGGAGAGGCTGGGGGAAGTGTTCCCTCTAAGATTTTCCTCCCATGTGTGGAGTGAATTTTGTCTTGTGCATCAGTATTGAGGTCATGTACGCTTGTTCAGATGTGTGCCACTGTAGCACCCAAGTTATTCATAAATATCTTATAAACCTCTCCCTTTCCCCTCTGCTGCCATGTCTCCTCCCCTCCCCTCACCCTATCTGCTCCCCTGGTGCCTGCTGCCCCCCACTCCGACCCTCCTCTGCTGCTTGCTTCTCACTCCCCTTAGCCTTTTGGGAATCTGCCCCCTCCCCATCCTCCTTGACCCCTGCACCCACCCTTCTCCTTCCCTTGCGTACACTCCTCCTCTAGCCCCACTTTGATCATCCGTAGCTACACCTCCCCATCCCCTCTCCTAACACCTCCCTCTATCCACCTGCTCTGCCTCTCTCCTCTGGTTCCAGTCCTTTCCCTCCATGTGTCTGCCCTTCTGCTTCACCCCCACATTCCCCTGGTACTTGCACGTTTCCCTTACCCCTGCACATTCCTGGTGCCTCCCCTTCCCTCAGTGCCCCTGCCCTCCTTGTCCTCTTTCTCCTTGGTACCTACCCCATCACCACCCTTTGCCCCAAATCTCCTCAAGACACTCTATGCCCTCACATATGACTTGCTCCATCCCCTGTTTTCCTCATGCCCACCTCTCCTCTCAACCCCTCTTCTCCTGGCACCCACTCCTCTCCTCTCCTCTCCCTCCCTCTTGCCCCCATTGTCCCTCCCCTCTCCCAGCATCACCCTGTTCCCTCCCTTCTCCCAATTCCACTGACACCTTCCCTCCCACTCCTCCTTCTGCCCTTTTCCTCATTGTCTCTTCTTGGCCCCATGGCATTTGTCTCTCCTCCACCCTGCCCCTTGGTGCCTTCCTTGCCCTCCTCTTCCCTCAGCACCTGCCCCTTTCCTCACCTTCTGCCTTCGATGTGGAAAGCAGTTTGCGGGGCTGGAGCTGGGCTGCAATGCTATTTTTATTACCACAGTCTGTCCCCAGAAGCTCCCACAGTCCCAGCCCCAGCTGCTCCCGCGGCAGGGCTGCATGCTGGGACTGGAGCAGAGGCCGCCCACAGTGCTGTGTGTAGTACTGTGGTTCCGGTCCCCGTAGGCTGCCCGGCTCCAGCTGGAGTTAAGGAGCAGTTGCATGAGCCCGTTCCGGTGATGCTGCCCCAGCTGGAACGTGCTTTGTGTGGCTGCTGCATGACTCCAACTGGAGCTGGGGCTGCCTGTGAGGACCCAGACCCCAATACTAAAAATAGCACTGTGGGCAGTCTCTGCTGCAGTCCTGGCACCTGCCAAACCTGAGCATGCCCTTCCCTGCTCTGCAACGCCCCAGCCAGGGTTCGCATGGCTCCTGCTGGGGCTCCAAGGCAGCCCGGAGGAGGACCAGGACCCCCCGCGGCAGAAGCAGTCCCATGGGAAGAGGGAGGGGAGGGGGAAAGGAAGGGGTCACACACCACTGGAAGCTGGCCCAGCTGCCCTACGCACACTGCTGGCGGGGAGGCTGCTGTGCCGTGCGAGGAGCAATGACATGGCACCATTTCTTGCTTCTTCCCATAAGCCAGTGTCCTCATCGTGAAATGTCTAGCAGGGCTTTCCAGGACATTTCACTACTTGGTGGGGGCACCAGGACAGAGTATTTAAATTTGGGACTGTTCTGGAAAAATCAGGAAGTCTGGTCAGCGTACCTATAGATTAAACTGGGGAGTGAGT